GTTCAGTAATGTTGAAAGTTGGATGAGTTGCAAATAGCTCATGATCACGTATGAAGCAGCGCACGACGACAGGCACAAAAGGAATAGGGACACCGCTGCACTTTCAAGTATAGTTTATTTCGCCGAAAAACATGGTTATTATACAACAAGACGGTGTACCACGTGCTTCAATAACGTCTAGGCTACAGCATATTTTCTAAAGAGCACATATCGCAATCGCTCAATGTTATCGATGCTTGGCTAATGCAGTAATCTTTCATTTTGCGATGTGGAAGGCCTCTATCACTTCCCTGGTCACCTGATCTCTGTGACTGAAAAGTGTTTCAGTCTCAGAGAAAAGCGGGGAAACCGCCATTCTCTGAGACTTCAGAAGCTTTCTACGTCTCATCTTACTGCATCTGTTTTTTTTTTTTCAGCTATTGTCGATTGTGCCAGTGCAAATCGTGAAAATTCAAAATGATGAATCGTGGATACGCATCCAAGCCGCGCCACTAGAGTTACTGTAGTCATGCATTGCCTTCTAGAAGTAAATTGTCATATTACACTATATCTACAATTTTCTCACTCTTAGCTAATGGATTTGTAATCAGCCATCTTTCAGTGCGCTGCGTAAGCTCTTGAGCCTAACTATAGAAATTTATGGGCAATTCGAGCGAAGTCGAAATGCTGGAAATACGCCCATATTATCTACGCAGAATTTATATCAAGCACGTACTCGAGAGAGGAATAGCCATTGACGTAATTGTGAAGCTCCACTAATAACAAGCCAATAATCAAAAAAATCTCCCAAAAAGATGAATCATACACACATTGTATTTTTTTCAATAAAGAGACCCGTAAAATTTCTACAAAAGCCTTTTGTTTGAATTCACCGGTAGGGTACGGATTGAGCCGACTGTAAGCACAATCAGTGTTGCAATGATCTCTTATAGACTGACGGAACGCTTTCAACAAGGTGTACATAGGATATAAAAATCTTATATGAGTCGATACCAATGCATATTAAAAGTGATTGAATATTTTGCGTGAAGAGCTTCCTTTTTTAATTTCAGTTGATGTTGCTGTAATTTTTGTTGGTGTTATATTGAGTCAACACCTTCATGGTAACAAAAATGAGTCGCTGGGCTATTTTTGTGTGTCCTTACTTGCTACGTACATCACTTCTTTATTGCGACACGTGAATTATTTTTATATCAATCTCTCTTCACGAAGTTGGACGACTGAAATGAGAGTTAAAGTATCTCATTGAAAAAAAAACTTTTACTTGGGGCAAGTCAACACTCTGCTAGAAGAGTTCTACAGACACTTTTTAGAGCGTATCAGATATACCCTTGGACCGAAATGGCCAGTGGCGGTGCGCTGTTGTTTCTACCATCGACGGCGCTGCGACATCGGCGCGGCGTTCATCGGATCGACAGTGGCGCAGCGTGTGCAGTAGGGGGGAGGGTATAGTATCAAGATTCAAGAGTTTGTGCGGATAGAAGCTTGTCCCTTCAGTTTTGAAAAAAAAAATGTTTCGCTTAAAAAGCGAAGCAGCAATGTAAAAGCAGCATGTCTGAACATTATTGATTTACAAACGCTGAGGTCTCAGTTATCCAGGCGAAGCAAGCGTAAATACACGAGGCGATGTTTAACAGGTGCAGCCTTACGCGGAAACAGCGATGACAAATGACCATAGGTTCGGCGATTTCACAGCTTCAGCTCGGACGCTAGTCAGCCGAACTTGCTGAAGTATTCGTTTATCCTTTCCAAAACTTTTGGTACACTCCAACGAGGAGGTCGTGGTCTTCTCATCTGGTTTTCGATCCAGCGCACGTGGCAGTGAACGCGGGTGTACATGCTGGGATCGTAGCGCCGGCCACATCCTCGGCCGTAGGACACGATGCCGACTTGTATCGATCGGCCATTCCTGGATCGTACTGTGAGCGGTCCACCGGAATCGCCCTGTAAGAATATGGTCTTTATGTCGTCAATCCCTAAATCTTTAACGAAAAATGTGCAACTACGCAATAGTGGTGCATGTGATACCGACAAAGCAGCGATCTCCTGGCCTCACTCTCCTTATCGCCCTATCATTCATCTCCCTTCCTAATTTCAATTCCATCTCTTTCGTCATACTAAACAATGCATGGCTATGTTTTGCTAAGACCTGCTTGATACACGCCTGCTTCCTCTTACGCATAACCGCTGGATTTTCGCACACTATAAGTATAAGTGATAGTTTAAATAGTTTTGCTGGTTGAAATAATGAATGTTATACATGTAGAGAGGGAAATATATGAAGTGATAAACAAAAAAGCTCTAAACCATGAACCTACTGCTAATCATGAAGTGTCATGACGTGAGTACAACTGGACGCTAGGTATCCAGCTGTAATCTCAAATCTATTCATGAAAAACTGAAACAAAACAATGTGTATGAAGAATCACTTTTTCTGTCGGTGGAAACCAAGCCCACGATTTCCGCGTTACGCATCCGATGCTCCACCAGTTTAGCTACGATTGAGTCACTGTCAACTTCATCGTGCGCACAGATGGGTGAAGGTTCATCCCTGTGCCCTTCTCCCTATAGTATATCAATGTATGGGGCTGACCTTGCACTCATCTTCCCAAGTCACAGCGCCATTCCTTTCGATATAAAGTTAAAGTGAGGGGCCAACTTAGCGCCCCCTCTCATGTGAGTAAGGAGGGGGAAGCAGTGACTAAGGAGGGGGGAGGCAGTCACTTCCTCTGTCTCCCCCTCAACACCTCCACCCTTGCGCATGCGTATACGGCCCACTTTATTGGCACTTCTGTGCGTCGAAAGTGCGGGAGTGTTAGGCAGCACCACCTGGAGTCAAGACGGGGTTGTGGAACAGCTTTCCTATCCAAACGGTGTCAATCGACCTTACACATCAGCGATATGGCAGGTGACGAAGAATTCATCCAATCATCAGTGTGCCTAATAGCATATACTTAGTCGGCGCGAGGCCGCAGGTGTAAAATGCAAAACAAGAACTAGACGTGTCTTCTTCTTTGATAGGCGCAACCAAATGAATCCAATGGGTTGTTAAACCACAAAAAAACATACGTGACATTATTTAGGGTGTTGATTGATACGTAGGGTTTGACGTTCCAAAACTACCACAACGAATTTGTGTTCTCTATCTCTCTGAAAACCACTACATGACTATGAGAGACGCCGTAGTGGAGGACTCCGGAAATATCGGCTACCTGGGGTTTCTTACCCAGCACCCAAATCTGTTTATTTGAGGTGTTGAACAGAATGTTGTAATTACGACAACATGAAATCAGTAACTTGATTGACAATTTTATGGGAATGTTCAGGAATAATAAATCATTGAAGGTAGCCCAATGCTTTTAGGGTGGGTACTTGGGTGAATTGATTCATGCTTGTAAGAAGCAAGAACAGTACACCAGACAGGACACAAGCAGTTAAGCGCTGTTGTGTCTTCTTCATCTTGTGTCCTGTCTGAATTTCAGTTTGTTTTTACTTCTTGAAAGTTAGCACAAAACTTTATAAAGTACAGGTAGAAAGAAGGCAAGTGACAACAGCTCTCGGTTTGTCTTAAATTGTCCATGATTTGTGACTAAATACGAAAGTGATTCCCGTGAACTCTAAAAAAATAGGGTTGTAATGACGAAGTAGGCACGAAGATTGTCGTTCCGGTTGTATTCACACGTACTGATACATATCAGGTAAACATGACTATTGACTATTAGATAATTTTTTTTAAATCTATTGTGTTGCAACTTACTTGGCAACTGCCTTTCCCGGGGGTCAAAGTGCACATCGTGTTGTTTTCATTTAGCACTTCTTTCTGCCCAGGAAGTATGAAACCCATGTGGCACTGGCGAAATGGCATGATTCTTGTTAATGCGTACATTAAGCAATTGGATCTGGTGCCATCTGTAAAAACAAGTCAGCCTGCATTAAAGAATATTGGCACAGACCATCACCGATCTAATGTACTAGAACTGATTCATTATTAGTTAAAGTGTAATACGCAAACTACTAATGCAATGAAGATAATAAAAAACACCGAGAAGCATGTGGAGGTCGCTCACTGACGCACTCGGCCAGCGGTCAACAAATGTACGAGGTTAACATGGTATGCATGTGCACCCAGCAATCAAAGAACGTAACGTAAATATTATGCGCATGATAGTGACGTCAATTGAACGCGGTGTCACATGATTACTTCATCGCATGCGTCCCGTTTAATCAAACGTAGGTCGATGCCATAGACACTGCGAAACCTCGTTCAGTGCTGAAGGCCTTGGATAGGCTGGGGGGAGAAGGGGTGAGGGATTAGTACAATGGACGGAGAAGTAAAAGAAATAGATGAATTTCACCTTCATGTAGTCTTAGATAAGTGCTTAAGAGGCCGCGTAACTTTTCATAATGGTTCAGTAGTAAATGTTGCTGCCTGTTTCAGGTGGTTACCTTAAACTTCTGAAGTGTTGCTTCAAAACCGAGTAGGTACACACTTAAGCTCGAAGAAAGCCACTGAAATGTCCAAAACTCAGGGCGAAAGTAGAAACGGTGAACACACAGGTGGCTGTGAACATGCTGTTAAAAGCGATCTTCACCTATAGACCTCATTGTTTTACATGTTTCACTAGTGGGTTGCGTAGACCGAACACGGTGAACACAGAGGTTTCGTACATGGAGGAGTGAACACAGAGGCTGAACCCAGCCACATCTGTGTTCACTAGCTGCCTCTGATTCTGCCTCTCACTTTTCTCCATCTTTCGACGTTTCAGTGCCATTCTTCCAGTTTAACGTTAAAATGAATTTAACTGTCTGTATCTCACTGTTTATCTTCAAATTGCACTGGAAGCAGTTACTACCTAAAATACTTATTAAAGCTACAGTTCGGTAATTAAGTTGTTGAAGAACAAACAGGGCCAAGAGCCAACTAATGGCATTGTGCTCGGGATGTAGAGCGTCCGAGAAGCACTACGCATACAAGATGACGCAGCTAGCGTTAGCGTTACTTGCTTTCTTCCGTAAGGCCCCAACCGGCAACCATCGCTAGTTGTCCATCAAGGTGTAGCATCTTAGGTGGCAGGCATATCGGTCGAACATGATCGTCAAAGTCTAGTGGTCTTTCAACCTGCGCATTGCAATTCGATCACCTTTACCTGCTGAAACACAAAGCGACTATTAGAGCCGTGAAAACTATTGCGAAAGATAGAAGTGAGAAGACCCAGAAGGTCGTCCTAAATGCATCTGGTTATGAAGTGTCTGTACAGAGAGTACAACGGTGTAAAAATTAGAAACTGATAAACTGAAATTAACTGAAATACAAATAACCTCACAAATTCCGTTCAAGTAACCACAAAGGCCAAGAAAGCGTGGAACCTGTTGCCTAATTATTAAACATGTGCAGAATGCACGTCAAGCCTTCCCCCAGAAGAAAAGAAAATCTGATATAACATTCTGCACCGTTTCACGTGCTCTTGGTTTGCTGTTTACGGCAGGTGGTATGTAGGCGTATGCTGTAATGAAAAAATTGAGGAACATCCCACCATTGTGATAAGTGTTTACATGCTAAACACTCAGCCAATTCTCTCTCCCTTTGAACCAAGATGCGCCTATGCTCAAGTTTGAGCCAATGCTTACGAAATGTGTCAATGTCTTGATGTCTTCGTGTAATTTGGGGTTGTACTTGAATTGTACACTTTGCGTAACATGTCAGCCGGGTGAGATCATGCATGCTTCTCTCGAAATGTTCTGATAGAGTGCTGATAACAATGTAAGGGTTGCATTATTTGCGCTGTTTAGTCGTAATGTGACCCACCACGAAGGCCGTATATACCGCTACAGTGGCCTCGTCTCCGCATGTCATCGTCTTTGTCAGTAACTACATATCGGACGATAGAGGAGATTTCTATTAGCCATAATTCTCATGACATACTATTGTTATCACGTTTATGGCTTCAACTTATGGTTGAAGTTGTGACTTCTGTTTTAGTCTGAGAGAGTACCTGCGTTGCGTGGTTGCAATGAATGTGGGAATAGCAAATTACACTACCGAAAAAAAAAAGAGACAATTTCTTATCTTGCTGTACAGAGAACACTGCAGACCGAGCAAATTGGCCTAAACAGATCTCAATACCTTGACCAAGATCCGATTTCTGTTGGGTAGTTCCCGCGCGTGTTGCATGTAAAATTTACAAGAGTAGCATAAGCAACTACTTACTTTGACCAAGGCGATGTCATTTAATATCGTCGTCCACTGAAACTCCGGGTGATGGATCATATCTTCAATCCACACACTCGGTCCCTTATTGACTTCTGTCGTGTTGTAGAAAACCCGCCCGAGAAACGGCAGAGTGTTCCTTGACGTAAGGAAATGTTACTTTGATCAATCTACTTATCATTGGCGGCTCATTGAAGTAGCAATGAGATCTGAAGAAAATCTGATCACCTGGGGTGAAACAGTCAGAAAATAAAAGAAAGTCGAGCGAAGATAATGCGCAGTCATGATAAGGAAGCTACAGAAAACCAACATACCCACATAGTGGATTACCACAATTTGTCGATGAGTCCTTTATTTCCCTGAGAAACCTTAGCAACGCCCTCGCAGCTGTTCTCGCTAGAACTGTTATGCAACAAGTTCAGATCAAACAACTAATCCATACTGTGATCCCTAGGTCATCTATTTCAGTGTGAAGGACTGCGTAACCTCAATAAAGAAAAAAGTTCTGCGCCGCCTCGACTTACAAGTAATGGACGCAGTGCGCTGCTGTCAGAATGTAGCTCGGTGATAGGATGCTGCCTCCGCATAAAATGCTCAAAAGGGCCGTCTCGTTCCACCTGTATATAATTTCGAGTTGCACCTGAAACATGGAGATTCAATGAATTATTTACCATTAGATCTACCCAAAATGGCAAGGAGTGGTTTCCGTGGTAGGCGACGTGGTACTCTAACAAAAGTGTCCTTAGTGCTTTCAAATTCTTAATTGAGGAACGTAATACATCGTTTGTAATAATTGCACAGGAATACATGACGCGAGAATCTGACACAAAAAAAAGTTCTATAAGTGCACTGCGTCGTTTCAAGCAATATTTTGCAACTCAAGGCCAGCCTTACAAACAATACAGTCTGCTGTCGAGCACCCAGTGAAAAAAAATATAAAATAGAGGTCGGAAAATGGCGATGATATACTGGTTTAGTGGATGCAAAATCATTGTCGAATTGCCTGCAATGAAGCTGCACGTTCAGCTCATGAAAATACCAACACACTCTTATACCACTCTATAGAACGGACGCGGGGTGACAACTGCAATCATTTGCTTGTCCTGTCTCACTTCCACAATAAAATACGGGTGGGTTTCTACAACTCGCGTGCATCTTCTATTTCCACTATTTTACGGCTTCGCTTGTCATCCAGACTCTCCCATCAAAGTGAAGATTTGTTGTGTCGCATGTGGTTGGGTGTGCCCTTCGCAAATGCATACTGTCATCCGACAAGAATGGCCAACAGTGCCGCATGCAACTCGTACAGCTGCGAGGAGACTGTTGGACACACTTTAAGGCACCGACCATTCTACCAGACTCATTGACGTGTACTAGGAGCCGAACTTGATCGTCTTGACACGAGACCGCCGTCTGAAAAAGACGTCCTGAGGCATTTGCACACGGTTTCGAACCAGCAAAATGCGACATAAATTCTTCTATGGACTACCAGCGCGTGTATTTGTTGTACGTGTTCTCCATAACTGTTCATTTCATTTTCTTTCTTTCTTCTTCATTTTACTTATTATTCTCTTTTTTCACAACTCACGTGTTGTGTAGCCAACCATGCCAAGCTTCGTTAACCTCCCTGCATTTTCCAATCATTGCTCCTTCTGTTCTTTAGCATGAATTCTTTATGCATGAGCCAGGTTGCCTATTCTTATTTATGTGTTTGCATTGCAACCTTTGTCGCTGCTCTTCTCACCCAACACGTTGAGCCCATAAACTCGTTCTTACTGGACACTAAAAGTATAGCTGCGTCGATAACACTCTTAAATGGTGACATAAGCGCTATAAAAGTTATACTAAAACGAAGAATTTGCCACAATTCAGCCAAATTATGTACTAATTAGTATTAGCAATAACTGCAGAAACAAGTGCCAAACATCGAGAACTCTGAAACAGATTATAAATTTTATTATTTTCTATTAAAGCCATTCAAATATTTTCACACTTGAAATATTGTCACAAGCACTTGCTGCGTTAGACGAAATAGTCGAAGTTGCCTCGCCGTGGTGGCCTAGTGGCTAAGGTACTCGGCTGCTGACCCGCAAGTCGCGAGATTGAATCCCAGCTGCAGCAGCTGCATTTACGATGGAGGCGGAAAGCCCACGTGAACAGATTTGGGCGCACGTTAGAGTACTCTGTCGAAATTGGTGGTCGAAATCTCTGAAGCCCTCAACTACAGCGTCTTCTATAATCATAAGGTAGTTTTTGGACGTTAACCCCCACATATCAATCAAATCATCGAATCAAAATAGTCGAAGGTAGGCTTCTGCAATAATAATGAAAAATTTCACGATGAAGTGAGGAAAAATATTTGGCAATTTTCGCATAATTCGGCAAAAGTTTTTTTTTTAGGTGTGTTCAGATGGAAAATATGCTGGGATATTACGAAACATCCTCGTCACATCTACTTACAATCCAAGGAATTTGAGCCTTGTCACCCTTCTTGCCATGAAGAATCCTTCCAAGGGTGGCTTCCGATGTACCGCAGTCTGCGTAATAATGCAATGGGCAGCCACTTTCTTATCGTTTGACCAAAAGGTCTACGATACTATCTACATATCACTCTATATCAGCTCAGGTGACGCGTGTCATGACGCCAATTCATTTCGTTCCCAACCTTCTAGTAATAACTCTCAATATGTTCAATGGCAATATGAATGATTTATTAATGCGTTAATTAACTTCACTTCGGACTATATCAAATAAACCAGTTTATTTTCAGTTGAACAATACATAGAAAGAAGGTCCTGTGAAGAACGTCTGGTCAGGGAGCTCGTATAATTAAGAAATACCTAAACAGCCAGTACATAAAGAAACTATCTACAAGTTTGTCAACTTATCATGCACTTTGTGTTCCTATCGAAACCATGAGAACATATAAAGGAGCTAGGTGCTACAATTATCAGTATAATAGGCGCTTAATCTAAGAAAAAAGAATTACTAAGCATATAGTGAGTACATTGAAAAAAATCACGACCGCAAATAAAACTTATGAGTTATGTTTAAAATACCACCTAAAACTGAAACAGACACGTAAGCATCAGCTTTTTATATGAAAGTTTTTACCGCATACAAGCTTGGTATACAATTTTTTTGTCGTTCTGCGCAGCTTTCTCGCCAATTGTGATACATGCGGATGAAGTCCAGCAGAAATCGCTTAAATTACGTTTTGTAAACGTGCTCACTATAAATAGGAGAGAGAAATTTGAATATCTGACTTACTGAGCGTGATCTATGCATGATGAAAATTGGGTGAGGCTTAGCTCAGCTAATACCTCCTCTGCAAGCTAATGTTTCTTACACTTCGTTATGCTTGCTTAACTTTGCAGTCGAAGCACTATTTGCCAACCAAATGATATGACTAAAAGAACAAGCAAACAGTAGCTTCCTCTCAATAATTTCCGAACCCATCGCCGAAGTCAAAAGCAACGCGCTATAGCCACACCATAAGCTTGTCGCTGTTATCTTTCCGCTTTCTTCTCCCGGTGTTTAGCTCGTCGAAGTTGCCCTTCATAATTTGTTTTGGACTGTCAATCTGATCGCTTGAACTCATGTTTTCAATTTAACTCACTAGCAATCTGAGCAACCACCACAGGTCTGTCTGACGCAGTTGGCCGCTTTCGAAGCTGGGATCGCGCCGACTAAATCAGCACATATGAACAAGGATGCTCGCTGTCTCTTTGCACCACGCGACTATGACACAAGGGCTCAGCTAAAAGCATTCACCTGCTGATGCGACGTGGCTCAGCATTCTCATGTTTTGGGGACATATGTACGGGGTGCCATCTCTTTACGCCAGCAACACCATCCTACCATGACTGAATAAGAAATCGGAGAAAAAAATCACATCTCACGAAAAAGTCTAGTTATCAGAAACTATTCCCGGCGATACGCTGCAGAAATTCACTTGAGACTCGAAGCAAACGTGTAGTATTGCCGCACAAAGCGTCTGACTACCCAGAACAGCCCTTTAGAAATATATGGGGCCCATGTTAAATTATTGAAGACTCTTGGAAGCCAAGTGTGACACTGTTTTTTTACCAGAATAGTTCAGTTGGTTTATTCTTTATTCTTTATTCGAAGTATACCTGCAGCGCCCGAAGGCGTTATAGCATAGGGGTTACAGATTCGAAAAAAACGAATTTTCATTTACAGCAGACACTTGTACACTTGTGAGCCCATTCCACTCATGTATTGTTCTGACAAAAAAAGAATTTGCAAACATTCAAGTCTTGGGACGGTATTCCCTCAGTTTAAAAGGATGACCAATTCGATTTGACAAATAATACAGCGTCTGTAAATACATATCCTTATTGATTCCAGTTTTATTATTAAATATTAGATATAAAAGTTTTAATCGCATTTTTCTTCTACGCGATGAAAGCAGCTCCCAATTCAATTCTTGTTTCATAGCGGTAGAGCTTCCCCGCCATTGATACCGTCCCAGGACGAACCTTGCCGCCCTGTTCTGTATTTTTTCTATCTTATCACTAAGATATACCTGCGCCGGATCCCACACAGCGCAGGCGTACTCTAAGACTGGTCGTACACACGTCAAATACGCACATTCTTTAAGTTTCTGCTGAACATACCTGGTATATAGTTGTTCCTGATAAGTATTTTTTGCGCGATATGACGTTTTTTTTTTTTTTTTCGCGCATTTCCTGTTCGGTGACGCCACGTCATCACTTTCGCCGACGAGAGATGGCCCTGGGTGTACATGTCCGGAAATCGTTTCCATGAGATCGTGGAGTGACGTGATGAATCAGTCGGACGTAGCTGCCGAAGCAGTGTTTGCCATCCTAGTAGTGGTCGGAGCAGTGCCAGTCGCGAACCCGAATGTTCACGTGGTATGCGTTCTTTAGTTAAGGCAAAGCGGAGATACACGGCAAAAGTAGATCGACCACGCCATTGAAGGTTTCGTATAGGACACGCTTAACATTCTTCTTCAAGTTGATTGCAGTAGCGTAAGCGGGCCCCTTGCGCATCGTGTTGTCAAGTGCTAGCTTTCCTCGTTTCTCAGTGCACGCCATAGAGTATCCTAAAATTAACTAGAGGGGTCTCTCTCGCTGCGATCGCACAGCGACCATGAAAATGATGTATAGTACACACATTTGCCTAGTCTTCGTACTTGTGGGCGGCGAATCGTACTTGCGGCTTCGTTTGTTGCTGTGTTTCGGTTTTGTTTTGAAAGAAAGATTGAGCCCTTTTGAACTTCGTTACGTCGTTTGTAAAGGTAAGTCTAAAAGAATACTATGGCGGTGAAGCGCAACCGCTGAACATTTGCTGATTTTTGTTTCGTGAGAAAACAGCTCTAGGGGGGGGGGGGATAAACAACAAGAGGGAAGGCAGGGAAGTTAACCAGGCACATGCCCGATTCGCTACCCTACGGTGGGGGAATAGGAAGGGGGCATAAAGATGAGAGAGAGAGAGGAAAGAGAAGAGAAAAAGAGAGAGAGAAAAAAACGGAGGATTGTCAGTCAATCGGCTGGCGCGTTTGCAGTGGTGGCACTGCACAAAAGTTAAAGGTGGTCACATAGGTCTGTAGTCCTCAAAAAGCACAAGACAGCTTTGACTGCTTTTTGAGCCGACGAAAGGCAATGCCGGTGTTCCAGTAGCATCTGCACAAAGAGTGGCCGATCGTCCAATTGTCGCAATGCGTCCGAAAGCTTCTGTCTTTCAGAGGCAAATCGAGGGCAATGGCATATCAGACGGTCATTCTCTTCTTTGGTGCAGCAGACCTCGCATTCCGCATTGTCGGTCAATCCGATGAGGGTTCTATATGCTTTTGTGAAGGCAACCCCAACCAAAGGCGACAAAGAAGTGAAGCTTCACGTCGACGAAGTCCGGATGGAGGTCGAAGTTCCAGTCGAGGGTTTATTTGGTATAGTCTCGTATGTCTAATGCTTGGGGTGTTCCACTCCTGCAGACTCAGACTACGTGCCAGGTGACGAAGTTGCTTTGCAGCGTCAGTCCTTGACAAAGGAATCGGAAGGGTGTGTTCATCTTGGTGCGATGTGCGAGCCGCGTTGTCTGCGGAATCATTGCCACTGATCCCACAATGGCCAGGAAGCCACTGAAACTTGACCTCGTGGCCTGTTTCTGTGACGTGGTGAACAAGCTTGACAACTTCGTAAGTTAATTGTTCATGGCAACCTCGTCGAAGTACTGACTGCATGCTCTGTAGGGCTGGTTTTGAGTTAGAAAACACAGCCCAATTACTCAGTCTTCGGGATTTGATGTACTCTACGGCACCACGCAAAGCCGCAAGTTCTGCCGCTGTGGACGTAGTGACATGTGACAGTTTGATTCGCAGAGTGATTCCTCTAGCTGGAATCACCACCGCACCACCAGAACCAGACGCTGTGGTTGAAGCATCGGTGTATATGTGCACGTGGTTGTTGTACATTTCGTGCAGATGGCTCAAGCTCAATTGTTTTAGGGCTGATGAAGGCAAATTTGATTTTTTCTGTTTTCCTGGAATTGAAGCACGTATTTGTGGAAGTGTCAGGCACCACGGAGGATACACCAGTTTCTCAGCAGGCGTAAAACCTGACGTAAACGACGCACGATGAGCACAGACAATTGCACTAAATTTCGTGCGGGGCCTCTCAGTAGCGAGGGTTGCCAAGTGGTGGGAAGTATTCCTAGCATGTTGCCTGAGGTACGTACGCATCGTTTCAATAGTGATGTGCGTCATGATCGAGTAGTCCTGTGCAATGGCAATCGTTTCAGCTGTCGATGCGCAGCGGGGTAAACCAAGGCATATCCTAAGCGCTTGGGCTTGAATATTTTGAATTGTGCGCAGGTTCGTTTTGCATGTGTTAGATATAACAGGTAGGCTATACCGCAGGAATCCAGTAAATAATACCTTGTACAGCTGTAACATAGACTCGACAGACATTCCCCCACTTTTCCCAGCAAGAAACCTGAATAAGTGACAAATGGCAGTCAGCCGCTTTTTCACGTAGTTTACGTGGGGTGTCCAAGACAGGTTTTGGTCTATTACGACTCCCAAGAACCTGTGACTCCGGCTGCATGACACCAACTGCCCGTTAATTGATATGCCGTAAGCGGACATTGGTTTTCTAGTGAAAGCCACGACTGCACACTTCTCACTTGCGATTTCAAGCCCTTGTTTGCGTAAGTGGTACGATGTCACTGATGCTGCCTTCTGAAGTCGAGCGCAAAGTTGAAGTCGAGTCGCACCTGATGTCCACACACAGATGTCATCAGCATAAATGGAAAGTCGTACACTGCTTGGTTGCTTGCCAACTAGTTCAATGAGTGTTACGTTGAACAGCGTCGGGCTTAGCACTCCGCCTTGCGGGACTCCTCTGCTGCAGTAATATTCGGGTGTCGGGCCATTCTCTGTCTGCACGTGAAATGATCTATTCTGTAGGTAGCTCTGAACCCACGTATATATCCTGCCACCGAGTCCCACTCCTTCTAGTGCGCTGAGAATGGCTTCGTGGGTGACATTGTCGTGTGCCCCTTTAACGTCAAGAAACAGAGCAGCAGATAACCGTTTGCAGGCCTTCTGGTGTTCTACATATGTCACCAAGTCAACTACATTGTCAATTGACGAGCGCCCTCGTCAGAACCCGGACATGGCATCTGGATATATTTCGTAGAACTCTAAGTACCATTCCAGACGTGTTAAAATCAACCATTCCATAACTTTTCCCACACAGCTCGCGAGGGCAATCGGGCGGTAAGAGGAAATGTCTAAGGGTGACTTGCCGGCTTTGAAAAGTGGAATCAGGCGACTAGACTCCCATTCCTGTGGAACCATGCCAGTTTGCCTGGAGTCATTGTACAGCTGCAAGAGTGCCTGCCGAGCTTGATCTCCTAGGTGACACAGAGCGCGGTAAGTGATGCCGTTAGGTCCTGGCGCTAAAGAACGTCTACACAAAGCAAGCGCAGCCTTTAGTTCGTCTATTGAAAACAATATCTCCATTGAGGGATCACGTGAGGATACAGAAAAGTCGGGCGTCTTTGTCCCAGTTGAATTTGAGCCGCAGGCAATCCTTCGACAAAAAGAATCTGCGACATCAATCTCTTCGCATCGTAAGTGAAGTGCCAGAGATTTTAATGGGTAGCGCTGAGTAATGGTTGTACGAAGACCCCAGACAGTTCTCCAGATTAGTGACAGAGGCTTTCTGGGATCCAAAGACTCACAAAAAGATACCGATCGTTGCTTGTCCGACTTGTCCATGTGACGCTGTATTTTCTATTGTGTGCGTCTGGCCACTCTCAGATCATCAAGTGATCTCGTGCGTCTATAACGTCGTTCTGCACGACGACAAATCGCTCGGAGTTTCTCGAGATCAATGTCCATATCAGTGCGAGATGAGCTCACCGGAAGCGAACGCGTCGTTTACTGTAGGGCACTCTTTATTGTGTCCTCTAGGTTGAAAGGTGAGGCGCCAACATAGTCTTCCATGATTAACTTGTATTTTTGCCAATCGGTGCACTGGACGGCTATGAAGGACTTGAGCTTTGGAAAGCCGTCAATCTTCAGGTATATTGGGATGTGGTCACTACCCCTTGTTTCCAAATCCGAAAACCAGTGCACTCTGCGTGTGAACGAGCGTGAGACGAAAGTGAGGTCCAGGCAACTGCTATAGGCCGATCCGCGCAGATAAGTAGGGCTACCGTCATTCACGAGGATAAGTTCACATTCAGTAGCGAAAGACACTAGCTGTCTACCTCTAGTGTTGACCCTGGAGCTTCCCCATAAGTAGTGGTGGGCAT